CCTGCCTGGAACATGTGCTAAAAGGTGAGTACTATTTTTGACTATAACTTGTTAGAATTGTAATTTAAAAAAAAACAATATTCGGAGCCCGCAACATTTCGCATTCGGGAATATTTCTCATCTTCAGAGCTCGTTCCATAAACATTTGATATGAATCATTGTCGTTCGCTTCTACAGTTTCGACAGCAATATTGAAACTTTTATCGATTTCTGCGTGATTTTGAATTTTTGTAAGTCAAGAAGCTCAGTTAGAATAACCTTCAGTTCGGTTCTTTCGGTTTTACCTCAAAATTGCTCTGAAACAAGTAAATACTTTGCAGAAAGTGCTTTAATTCTACAGTAACTAAAACAATGGGTTTACCATCTCCAGACGTAGTCCTTACTAATAGCCTGCTCAAGCGAAAAAGAGTAACGTACTCTTGTTTACGGTTACGGTAATCACCTGGTATGCACTAGTATAATTATTGCCTAAGGCTAAAAAAGAATGCAGTGGAAAAAATTGAGGATCATGTCTCTTCACAGGTTCTTATTTTTTCTCATAACGTAAAAGATATTGCTCAAAATACACAATTCTTATCAAGTTTGAACTGTGATGAGTTCATAGATAACATTTGACAAATTTGACTCTCCTCCCGCCCACTTCCCCTTCTTTCCTCTCCTCTAATGCTCAGTGCCTGGACTTCTTATGTGATAATTGATAGGGAGATTGTAAAATCATGTAGTGTTGAACGGTAGCTCATATGCCCATATCATAAGCAAAAATTGACTACAAACTCCCGCCCAGACTGTACTTTTCCCCAGCCGACCAATTAGCATCCTTGATAAGGCACGGTCTGGGCGAGAGTTCGGAGGTGAATTTCGTGGAAGCGAAAGAACCATATGAGCTGATTTTTGGGCAATGGCTCAGGTAAGGCCTCTAAAAAGTCTTCGCATAAGAAAGCTGGTCTATAAAAAAATTGTCTATTGCCTTCCATTTGGAAGCAGACTGGACTTCGTTTTCGGGGCGGAAAGCAAAGGGGATATTGTTTTTGTGGGTTCGAGAAAACACAAGATAGATTGGGATTTTTCAGTCAACGTTTCCGAAAAGGGTCATAGAGGACTTCGTAAAATGTCACAAAAGTTAGGGACTTCGTTTTTCAGAAGGCCTAGAAACGGACTCATACCGGGCTCTGCTTCCATTCCTTCCTCCCTTTCCCTTCCAAAAATATCAAGGAGCCAGTTGTTTGTGAAAATTTCAAAATCATCTTTAAATTTTCTGTGTAGCCGTAGAGAGAAAGTCTAAATGCAGAGTTTGTTGATGCAGATTTTATTGCCTTGGTAGTTTTTGGTAACCTGCAGATTTTATAGAATCATCCCACATTTGATCTTTCAGAAAATTCCAAAAAAATGAAAATCGGGAATTTTATTCGCGGTTTTATAGAATTTTCACAGCATATGCAATGTCTTTTGTACTAAACTCCGCATTCTATTCGTGGATTCCGCGCTCGCACACAATGTGTTTTGCATCAGTTACAGTATCCATTTCGCGCAAATTCAGCTGTTTCATGTCTGTAACGAATTTCTTACACTATACAACCCACAATACACGCAACATCTGGAATCGGCTAGTGAATGTGCTTAAGAGCAGTCGTTTAAGCCCAAATGTTGTGTGTTTGGGTAGCAAGTGTGCGCGCAATCCTCTTCATCAACTAAATGACTGAATTTTCATTGTTTTCACATTTTCCGAGCTATTTTCTGGGTTTTCTGGCTAACATCTGCTCGTGCTAGTGTAACTTTGCATTTTGTAGGAACAATAATGAAAAATTGTGCATAATTTATGGGGACTGCGCCGTGCGCCTATTAATTTCATCACACGCGACGACGTGTGGTGTATTGTGATAAACATGAGAGCTGCTCTAAATGAGGTCTCTTTTCTGACTTCTTGCACATTCTCAAACTTCAAAGTCTGTTTTCCAAAGGAAAACTACAATTCATTCGATTTTTGTATCATTTCCTTGAAACTTGAACTCCATTCTGAAAAAGTTGTTTCATATTTTGCGCTTTTATAGCCGGAAATGGACTGATAGAAAGACTACCGTACTTTTTTGCGCAATCGTTTGTCCTTTAAAAAGATGCAGGACCATGAATGCACTGCAGCCAATTCCACGAGCAGTTTTTTAAAATATTCAACGCCATTTCCTCGGCAAGACGATTTTTTGGGAGAAGTTGTTTAGGAAAAGAGAAAAAATAGAAAAAGTGGTCTTTTCAGAAACCTTTTTTTTCTATAAGAATCCGTTGTGAATACAGAAGCGCGCATTAAAGTAAGGTTTCAGAACTGTAGAGATAAACTTATGGACGTGATTTTTTATGTGAGAAAATCGTTTTGGAGGCCCTTATTGACCCAATGCCAAAGAAGCAGCTCATATCACTTATTAGGAGAATAGAACTTTAGAATAGAATAGAACTTCAACTTTGATCCGCTCAAACCGTACGGGCTACCATACTCGAGTACGCTGATTGGTCCGCTCGGGAATAGTACGGTCTGGGTAAAGGTTTAGAGTTTTAAATATATTGACCGTGAATAATTATATGAGCTGTTGATAGGACCACTGATTAGTTGGCTCCTCCTAGTATCCACTTGAGAGTCCGGGTAGCTGTATCGTTTTTCATTGCCTTCAATAATATTCTTTACATTCTCTGCTACATATGACTTTTGGAGAAAAAAATTGTAATTTGTGACCTCCCTTTTTTGTAGTACCTTAGTAAAAATCTGTGAAACGAGAGCAGTAAGCCATAAACTCTCATGGAGAGTTTTGCCTGCAGTTGCGGGTGAACTGTAATCCCTTTCTGTATAGCCGTGATTGGGTAAACTAGACATCCACTGTGTTTGAGCCCCTACAATGGAAACAAATTTATTTTTAGACTAAACAGAAGTACGTTCTTCCTCTTCCCTATTCTGAAGTTTTGAAAAATTCCATGCTCTGTTGATCCAACAGTTCTGGGCCCAGTTATCCTATTTTTGATCATCTTATACTCCCCTTCATCATTTTTTCCTGGACTGTCTTCTTCTTTCACACAATCTGTGGTCGATTCCATTGATTGTCAATGCTCTGGTGCTGCTCAGCCTCGGATCGCTCCCATTATCCCACGATTTCCCAGCGCTCGGCATACTAAAACCTCGTTAATTCCTCACTTTACGAGCTCATGTCGTTTCTAGGATCAACCAACTTTATCTTAACTAACATTAAGTCTTTACGTCATGAGGTAGTGAAAAACCAGAATTTTTCCCATAGGTGGGGGTGTTCTATTTCTGTAGTTTGCTTTGCGTCTGCCTTCGCACTTTTTGTTTTACAATTAGTGGTAGTATCGGGTTGCATTGTTAGGTGAAAATAGAAAACCAGCCACTACTCAATGTTAACGTTTTTTTTGGGAAATTCTTTCACGTTTAAAGGGAATACAATCTTTTGTTGGTAGGTTTCTTTGACTTATATCAAAGAGCAGTAATATAATTTTCCACTTTAGCCATTGACTTCATTTTGTCGTGAAGCTTTTGTCAAGTTTTGTGTTTTGTGTTGGTAACTTTCTTCGCACTTACTTTGAAGAAATATTAAGCCTTCTCCTAAATGGGGTTTGAATAATCACTTACTATGAATGTGTGCGATTTTGGTATATTGGTGTATGTAAAAGTGGAGGGGAGGGCAACTGGGCGGTGTCTGCCACTTTTCAGGGAGGAGTTTGATGCATTTCTGAGATGCCTGAGGATAATTTCATGCGAAGCTGAATACCGGATCATCATACGGTTAATAAGAGCGTCTTAGTTGAGCCATTGCCCAGGCGGCAACTCTTTAGGTTCATTCATTAACGAGAAATTACTTTTCAAATTTCGCCTAAATCGTAATTTTCCAAGCGGACCAATCAACATCCTTGAGCACGGGAGCCCGATCTGGACAAGAGTTCACATTTAAATCTCTTGGCCTTGAATGAATCTTTGAGATAAATCAAGCTCTAAGTTTTCGCTCACGAATGCCTCATCAAGCGGACCAATTAGCGCCGTCCACTTACAGTACGCTACAGATCCGGCGGAGTACGGTCTGGGCTAGTGTTCAAAGTTGATTTTCGGCCACGAATAAAGAGTATGACTTGCCGCTTGTGCCATGTCGCTATCCATAAAAGATTGAGCGCATTTGGATCGCTTTTTTGTTCTGATCAGTCTGATACCTACCTGCTGAATAATCTGAAAAATATCTGAAAATTCAGATTTGGCTTCGATCAAGGAAGCTTAGAACAAGGACCATTTCTTCATATCTCTTTGAATGATTTCAAACCTGCAGAAAACCTAAGGCATTTTCGCCTTTGTCATCTTGCTTGATTATAGTACAATGTAAAACTCTTCAGGACTACCCTGAGACTCTTCAACTCTACAGTAACCATTCACTGTAAACAAGAATTTATTATTAGAGCAACCTGACTATCAGACAAATTCCGTCAAGAATTTTCCATTTCCTAAGAGCCTAATGGGTTTAGTCATTGTAAACTTGACTGTTATGAGCGCGGGCAGCGGTGGCAGAAAATTTCTTTTAGAAGGCGGTCGCAGTTCTTCAATCTTAGAATTTTCTCTTAAAAAAATCCTTCTTCAAGCCAGAAATTTTTATTGATTTTTCAGACCACAGAAATTTTTTCAAGAATCTCATCTTGATAAAGATATCTTTTTCAGACATCATCTGGCGTACCACATTTCTCAGTACAATCACTTCTCCCCTCCTTCTATCTTCAACCCCCCCCCCCACCTCCCTGCTTTCGCTTCTGGTCTCAGGGATACTGTAGCATTTGGTCATTGCCAAGGATTGATGAGAATACTCGCTTGATAGAATACTACTATTTACTTGATGAGAAAACAGTATAAGCTTTTCTCTCAAGCTTCTGCGTTTTTTTTCCCATTTTCCCGCGATCGATACCTATGTTTATCGTGGCTGTGTGACCTCTCTACGCATGCGTGATTAAATTTATCGTAATTTCATTTCAGTTATGCCTATAACTCTGTGATATCTATCTATTCTATTACTATTCTATTGTGTATAGCCTACGCTTTCATGTCGAAGGTGAGCGTGAACACTTTTATTTCCTGTTTCTTCGCTCTATCGTGCTTTGCCTTGAATTTTTTTGAATTTTATTGATGTTTCAAATTCGCAACTTTAATATGCAGCATATAAAATAAAAAGTGGATGTCCTGATGTATAAATTATTCATAATTTCGCACGAGACAAGCATGACTAGGGCTTGGAACTTTCCAGACAACATCGATATTGCCATACCAATATGACTTTTATGAATTTTCCTAACCTACATTACAATCAACTGCCCCAAAAATTATCATGTTTATCAAGTAAAAAATTCCAAAGCCGGACAAATCAGATTTTTGAGTTTTTTCTCGAAAACCGCAAAATTCCAAAATTTTTAAAAAAAAATTTTGTTTATTCAATTAGTACTAATTGCAAGTCGAGAAAGTAGACGTTCCAGAACAACACCAGCTGCTTCAGAGTGCTGTTTGATTAGAGCGCGCTTTTTTTCCTGTAGCTGTCATTTCTCTCCTATTTTTCAACCCTTCTGTTATTGTTTATGATTGGGAAAGTATCCCTAACTATGTTTATTTACTTTTTTTAGAAAAGGAGAAAGAGGGCAGAGGTTCGAAAAAGGTGAAGATAATCTTTACAAAATCCTGAAAATGTTGATTTCAGTATCGACTTTCTTAGAGAGTCGAAAATTCTCATTGTTATTGGTGAACTGAAGGGAAACTAGAGCTTAGATTCTCTATAAACCTTCAAACTTTATTAATCGCCACAAAAAAGCAATCAAAACCGAAAAAAATTAACAAGTAAGAAAGTAAAAATTCCGTTCTCTTTTTGATCTACAGGAGCATGTCTTCCCGCACAATAAATTGTATGTTTTTTATTCATGCTATTAATTTAATGTTTTTCAAGCGTTGCTTTTATGTATGTAGAATAGACATGTTTCTGCATTATTTATCAAATTTATTGACAAAGCTGCATGTTGCTGTCATTTCGTTCGGCTGTTAGCTAAATATTTCCAGTTTTGAAACTTCAGCGCATTGACCTGCGATTCTTTTTCTTGTCTATGATTAGATATGTGTGAAAGAGGAATTATTTTGCCAATTCTAAATTCCTTACTATTTTCTTTGATCTACGATCTTATGAATCTTCTTTGATCTATAATTTTTGATGCTTACTTTAGGGAAAGAAAGTTGACAGCGGTAGGGATAGATAGAATCTGGTTTGTGACACGAAACTTAGAAAAAGTCAAAGTAAATACACCCAAACAGCACTCTATGGTTTTCAAGTGGTTTTTTACGTAGGCTTACTCATTAACCGACGTAGATTTACAGAAAGACTTTCGCGTACTTGCTCCTGTTCTGTAAATGCTCTCTACATTTTGGTGGTCATAAAAATTTGCAAACTCGTCCCTATGATGATTGAATGGGTTTCACCCCATTTCCCTTTTTCTTCACTCTGCCATTTTTTGTGGAAGACTCACACCTGACTTTCGAAATAAATAAACAATTTGTAAATGAAGAGACAAATTATCAAAAATATACTGTACTTTCGGACTAAAATATTACCGTACCGTAGATTAAGTACCTATTTCAAGATTATGGTATTTCTTCTTTCTATGCAGATTAGACAAAATTCGGTTTCATTATAATGCATTTCTCATTACCATTTGTCTGTGTAAAGTGTTTTTGGTTTACGATTTCATATGTGAATATCAGAGTTGCCTCAATAATTAAATAATTTTATTAAAAAACGGTACTCTTCCGTTATCCGGACCCATTTTTTTCCAAATAAAATGATATTGCTTTTTTACTTGTACCAAATTTGGTGAAAACTTCGCGGGATGGAGAGTCAACCTCCTGCCATATGTGAAAAAAATTGACATGTCTCTACATGTTTAACAGGTTTTAACAGGAGATTGTTTAGCCTACCTACGAATGCATTTTCAATCTGTTTTTTATTTTATAGTGACCTCATTTTTAGTCAACGGTTTTATGAATGAACTTTAATGTTATGAAAATGACATCTTGTGTTTAATAAATACATTAGTTTCCCAAAACAGGGTGAGGCTATTGCTATATCATCTAAACGACGAAACAATCGATAGCCAGGTATTTCAAGCCATCATTTATATTTGTTTCCCGGTGAAATTCGCATGGCGGAAACAATGAAGACAGGATATTTCTAAATCATTGCTAAAAGCTACCAAGAATCTAAATCTGGAAGCTAAACTTGGTAGCTTTCAGCAATAATTCAGAAATATCTTGTCTTCACATTATTTTAATAAACGTTTAAAACTGTTTTGCCTCTATAAAAGTCCCGCGAACAACTTTTGAGTCATTTCAAAGGCTCTCGTACCTCACTGGAAATAATTTCAAAAAACATGTCAAACTGGCCCCAAACGTGTTAATTTTTATCTTGACACGTGGCAAAGAGACAGTCTCACAAGATCTATGAAAAAATCTTTAGCCTGAAGCACGTGGGAACATGGAAACATTTCGAAAAAATGGGTCCGGATAACGGAAAAGTACCAAAAATTCTATCTTCTCAAAAATTTGCTATTTTCTGGAATAAATTTATTCATGAATAATGCCAGCATTCTGTTCTTGAATGAAATTTTTCTTTGCAGCAAATTTGTTAGTAATTTTCTATCCATCTCTCAGATCAAAAATTCGCTGTTTCGTTTCACTTTAAAAAGTGACTACAAATCAGAAATAGCGCTTAACAAATCACACTTCTATCTGAAAACGGCAAACGAAATGAGCCTCCAATGGAAATATGGCTAGTCCCGCCCCTCATGATAGCCCCACCCACATGTCTGTAAATGAAGGCGGGGTAAATTTACATTTATTCTATATCTTTTGGGAACTGAGGAAAGTGAGTAGACGTTCGCGTCGGGACACTGCAACATCTGTTTAGTGGTGAACTCGTCCGGATTGTCTACAAAAACACTTTGTGAGCACATCCATGTTTCCAAGACTTGTCTTCGTCTTCAAATGCAGGAAAAGCTTGAAAAACGAGTGGAGAAACTGCTGCTGCTGCACACCCAGTTTAGATTTCGCAACTCAGATAAGTTAGTCTTACAGCTGGGTTCGTATGGCCCCGCCCTCGCCACCCCCTCATCGAATGCCCCGCCTCTTTCATTTTAACGTTTTGCTAACCGATATTATATGATAGAAAGTCACGGCATACAATTAATCACCGCATAAAAAATAAGCAGGGCGTTCATGAATTATGAGCCCCCGCCAGAGTTTGCGACGACAAATAATTCTCCCATTTCTCAAGTGTCCCTGCTTTTTAAGATGTAATTGTAGAGATTTCCGGACTGAATAGTGTTGAAGTGGATGAAATGAAAGGAATCGTGAGAAAAAGTTGAATTAGACTGGTTTCTAAACAGGAATGGAACATCAAAGGCCATTGCTGAACATGAGTCTTTTCGAAATCGAACTTGTCACAAGCTTTTGCGCCTGATATCGTGGAACAATAAAATCATAGTTAATGCAAGGTCCGGTCAATTTCAAGGTACAGAAAAAATCTTATGTGAAAGCTGGGGATTAGGCTTAGCTATTACGCAAACGGCAGCTCATGTGATCCATTCGTTGCTAAGAAATTCAACGCTAAACTCTCGCCCACTACCGTAGCCTCTATGCGCTTGCCAATTAGATACGGTATGGGACGAGAGTTCAAAGTTGAATTTCTTGGCGATAACTGAATAACTTGAGTTCCCGCTTGGGCAATATCTTACCCTAGGTCTCCCAACTGGTTTCCAAGAGAGAAACATGGTTACAAATTTGGCCGGAGAACTCGTCTACATCTCCGAAACTGGAAGGACTAGACAAAAGTAGTAGAAAGAGAGGAAATGTCTAGAAGCAACCAGTCCGCTCTCCATCCTTTTCCTTTCTTTATGAATTTTCTTGCGTTCTTCCAGTAACCTGTCTTGCTCTATGTTTAGTAAATCACCTCCGCTCACTCTCTTCCAGAAAAACGCTTCGTTTTCTAGAATCTATTCGAACCAGCTCTCACTTCATTTATTCTAGTCTTCGAGTAGAGAATTAGCTTCCGACGAGTGAGCCAGATCGAAATGAGAGGGCGATTTGCTTGGGTGCGGCGACGTTGGCGGCTTGTTTGGAGGTTAAGTGGGAACGGCGGGGGGGGGGGGGGGGGAGAGAGGGGGATTGAACAGGGTGAGTGACTTGAGTCGACCTTCACGCTTATCCGCATACCCTCACTCTCTTGTGAGTTCATATTTTATGTAAACCTCTCCCCACTCCTTTTAGAAGAAGCTGGGAAACTTGCGGTTCTTTGCATGTCGCTTTATTTTTGAAACAGGAAATTTTTGCGACTTTATGATAAACTGCCGAATTTTGCTGGAGGTGACCAGTCCAGAAAAAAGTTGAAGGTTGTCGATTGAATGTCGTTAGAACCATTTTTATGGATGTACATTCGTCTTTTGACCTTTGAAGTTGACTAATTTGATTTCATTAGGCGATCGTCCTATCTATGACTAGAGTTCTCCAAAATTTGTCTCCAATTTTTACTAAAATTTATTCCTAACGGTCTTTCCTGGTTATCCTGTGTACTCAAATTCATGCGCTACCCAGTAACTGCTGTATGTAAGTATTTAGACCCTTCATATTCTTAGATTCTTTGCTTTTTGAGTTCGGTTGCCAAAATTTTTACCCACTTACCCACTTTTAAAGCTATGTTACCCATTTATCAGTAATTTCGAACCCAAAAGTTCTGTCACACTTATATCTATCGCCATAAGATTCACATTCCGGAAATTTTCCTGACTGACTTTAAATAATGGGGAAATTGTATTTCCATGACACGCACTTCCACCCGAAAGCTCTTTTGAGCAACTTTGATACTTATAAAATTGATTCCGGCTCTTGAATTCGTGTTCGCCAGAATGTTCCGAATGCCTGCAGAATATTGCCAACTTTTTTCTTAGATTTTTGAAATCTGAAATTCCGTTAAGATCGATTTTTCCTAATTAGAAACTCTACAATTTGAACTTAGCTATGTTACAA